GTCCGATACTCAGTGGTCCTGCTAACTCAGTGGTCCTGCTAACTCAGTGGTCCGGCTAACTCAGTGGTCCGGCTAACTCAGTGGTCCGGCTAAATCAGTGGTCCGGCTAACTCAGTGGTCCGGCTAACTCAGTGGTCCGGCTAACTCATTGGTCCGGTTAGCTCCGTGATCCGATTCACTAAGTGTTCCGGCTAACTAAGTGTTCCGGCTAACAGGTCCGGCTAAGTGTTCCGGATACCGGGTCCGGCTATTCTGCCACGTGTCAAACAGATCCGGTTACCGACCTTGTTACCACCACGCTGATTGTGTTTCTCACCCAGCTGGTCAATGATTGATGCACGTGCTACTGGGGTGTACTCACGCCGCGCTGATCCGTGTGCCCGTGCGAATGCCCTCTAGAGAGCGATTGGTGGTTTTTTTTTGTGTGGGTGTTAAGACCTGCTGAAGAATTAGGGAGAGGCGGGGGTGGGGTGAAGTGGGGGTGAAATGCCCACAGAATAATAGTGTTAGTCCCGAGAGTACACCAAGGAGTAACAGAGTTCACAGCGGTTTGATGTCGTCTTCTGTTTCTGTCAAAATATCTCGCGCGTAGAACTTTTTAGTAAGGGGAAATAACAACGGTTTTTAAAAGGGAGGTAAAAATATAATTAAACGATAAAAAGATAAGAAAAAAGAATTAATATATATTGAAATAAAATCAAGTAAACAAACGTTAGTATTAATTATAACACATTTAATTACAAGGAAAGTATTTAAAACTTTTGGTGATTAATAAAAATATGTTTTTCGCAATTCCAAGTTATTGTTAGTTGCTAATCCAATAATAAGTAGTCGATAGTATCATGCCGCTGTTATATTTATATCAAGAAAATTGATAAACAAATGATTGTTGCAGCTTGCCTTGATGCGATTTTAAATCAATTTTTATTTTTATCAGTTACACAGTGTGATGTATAGCATTTGTTTTCTGCTTTTTGGTTAAATCAGAGAGCGTGGGTTTTTTTAAACTTTTTTAATGACATTTATTTTCTACCTTTTTAGTCTTTGTCTGTTTGTTTGCATTAAAATCTTGCTATTAATTATCTGTTACCCAGTAGGCTTCCGTCAAATACCAGCAAATCAACTAGCCATCTCCTCAAAACCAACTACTCAACTTACCTAAAATAAACACTCGTCAACAGCTTCTCTTTGCCCATTTCAACTATTCAACCAAGCTCAAATTCTTCATATCTACAACCCTCGACTCAGCAATATCAGCAAAACTTCACTCTTCAACTTCACTTCGCCCACCTCAATTACTCGACTACGACACAACTTCACTTTTTTTCAAAACCACAATAAACAATAATTCAAAGCAACCCACGTTAAACGATATCACAACAGAAGGACCCCAACTCAACTATTATCTCCAAGCTCCACATCATCGAACATCTCTACTATCAACGACAATACACGAGACTCGCCCTTTCACCAATGCATCATACCTCATCTATTCAATCTACCATCAACGTCACGACATCAAACTCATCCCTTCATCAACGGAACATCCCTCATTGATACTCTCGAACTACATCTACCAACCAAGATTCAACCACTACCTAATCAAGATAGTTATACGCACAAGAACAAAGGCCAAGAGAAGCGATCATGTATTGTCCTGTGCTTTATGTTATATCAAAGGTACCAAGAAACCGGAAATGAAAACAAGAAATCATAGAACAATGGAACAAAGAAAACAGAAGGAAAATCAAGAAAATGACATTGTAAAATTTTTAAAATGAAATACTATGTATTACATTGTAATTTTTTAACATGAAACCTATCCTCACAGCTAGCTCCAGGCTCGAATGGAGTGAACTGTGTGGAAGGAGATCTATTAAACCTGTAGTAAAATATAAAAAATTAAAAATATATATATATATATATATATATATATATATATATATATATATATATATATATATGTATATATATATATATATATATATATATATATATATATATATATGTATATATAAATTTATATATATATATATATATATATATATATATAAATATAATTGTGTATTGATTTCTACATAATAAAGGTGTTCATTAATAAAAAAAAATATCTGTTACCCAGTACTTGTATTGGATGGCTTCAAATGTACGAGTGGCTAATTTTTAATTTTCTATTTTCAGCCATATTACACCCAACAACTTCGCGATTACTATGACGACAACCACCTAGGACAGGGGTCGGCAAACTTTTGAGACGAAAGAGCCAGATGTTCCAATTTACAACATTATCCGGTTTTTAAAGAGCCACTAACATTTTTATGTCAATAGTATATTTGTTTACGAATATATATATATATATATATATATATATATATATATATATATATATATATATATATATATATATATATATATATATATAATTTAAATATATATGAAATAATCTTATTTGAATTTGTGGTAAGAGGATCTACTATGTAAGTCAGGGTACTTGCATTTGTTTTGAATAGCTCAAATCTCTCAGTGAAAACATTTTTCATTTTGTTTATATTGTATTATTGCTGAAGTGATTGAATAGTAGCATTGGTTTCAAAACGATATTTTTCTCAGTTTATCGTAATTAAGTAATTTACCGCTCACAATGTATTTAACAAAACAGTTTTTTTTTTCGAAACAAACCACTTCTTCAAGCAAGACATAGACTGGGTTTTTCTTTCATTTTTACAGCTGGTTTAGTTTCCTTGTGATATCCAACACGAAGTTGAATGTTTCAATTCGGAATGGACAATGTACATTGAGATCGGGAGTAACTAAATATTCTAATATAATAGTGAATGTTTATTGTTTATATCTATTGTTATATCGTTTATTACCGAATGTTGCAGACTAATATTTTAATAAGTTTTGAAAAATAAAATAAAATAAGTATTAATATTTGTGCATGGAGCTGAAGAGCCGCAACTGGACCCCAAAAGAGCCGCAGGTTGCCGACCCCTGACTTAGGAGGAATCTTATATTGTCTATATAAACTATATTGTCGTAACATGCGCATATTTACGTTAATACTAAAAAGTATAAAAATAATAAATACATAAAAACGTTTATAATTACAAGCTTTTATAAATGCACTAAAAAGAAGAAAATAATACAATTTTTATTAAATATAATATAAATAATTCATTATAATACTTATTATCATAGCGGCCCCGCTTTTATTTATATTAATATAAATAGTAGTGCATTAATATATTTTTTTTTATATTTAAAGTAACCGCAGATTATTATATTTTTAAACATTATTTTATATTTAATAAAAATTGTATTATTTTCTTCTTTTTAGGGCATTTATAAAAGACTGTAATTATAAACGTTATTGTGTATTTATTATTAGTATTATGTCTTAAAATGTGTACTCTTACTTTTATAATTTAGCGCATGTAAAAGCTCGTTAACATTTAGGGTATTAGACATGCTTTTCCCCTACTATTTAGTCTTAGATTTAGAAATAAACAAAGCACCGTTATACAAATGACGCAATCCGTCACATTGTCATATAATCCGGAGGTCTATTAAACCACACCCAAAAGGACAACTCCTCCCCACCCCTCACTAATCCAAACACCCCCACTTAACGTACCCACAGTAAACCCAATCACACGTAGATTTATTTTTACGAGCTGACCCCACCCCCACCCCCCACCCCACGTGAAACTAAACATTGACACAGAATATTAGTGTTAGTCCCGAGAGTGCACCAAGGTGTAACACAGTTCACAGTGGTTTGCTGTCGTCTTCTGTTTCTGTTAAAATATCTCGCGCGTAGAACTTTTTTTGTCAGGGGAAATAACAAACAATTTTTTTTTATTTTAATGGGAAGTAATTATAAAATTAAACGATAAAAAGAAAAGAAAAAAGTATGAATATATATTGAAACAAAAATAAGTAAACAAACGTTAAAATTAATTATAAAAAATTAATCTACAAGAAAAATATCTAAAAAAAATGGTGATTGATAACAAAATGTTAATTATAACTCCTAGAAATTGTTAGATGTTAATCCTATAATTAGTAAACACCAGTATCAACCAGCTATAATATTAATTCCAAGAATATTGTTTAGCTGTGTTATGATTATGGCAAAAAAAAAAAAAAAAAAAAAAAAAAGTATTTACTGAAGTCTTAATTAATATGTTAGCGCAGGGTCGGCAACCTGCGGCTCTCCAGTTCCATGCACAAAGATTAATAATTGTATAGTTTCATTTTCAAAAGTCATAAAAATATTATACTGTAAAGAAAAACAACATTAAATAGGATTAAAAAAAACTCATCAGAGAACAGTGAGAATAGGTAAGGTAGAAAGTATACGGGCAGCCGCTTGGGCACCAGGCCCAGCCCCACAGCCGCTGTAAGCAGCACCATGGCGACTATTCCATGTTTGCCACTGCCCAAGGGCCGCCCCCCTCGATTGTCTTTACATGGGGAATGTTATTTTATTCAGAATGCATTCCTCTACCTGTCAGTATGCAATAATTTTACCTGAGTGACGAAGTATGTCAGTTATTAGTTTCCTACGGTTGAGCTATAAGGTACTAGACTCTGGGTTCGCGTGGGGTGAAAGATAAGCCTTGTGAGAACCGAAAGACAGAAGCGACCGATACAGTAATCAAACCGATATCCAAACCAGTTAGTCGGAGTTTGCTGAGGCCTGCCTGGCTATGAAAGATAACTACTGAACCACTGGTGTCCGTAAAGAAAGAATCAAAAAGTTATTTGCTTCTAAAGTGGACTGGGATAGACCCATAGTTATATTATATGATTTCTAATTTTATCATCATCATCATCATCATCATCACCATCATCACCACCATCATCATCATCATCATCATCATCATCATCATCATCATCATTATCATCATCATTATTTACATCATCATCATCATCACCATCATCATCATTATCAGCAGCATTATCATTATCATCATTATAATCATCAGCATTACCATCATCATCATCATCAACATCATCATCATCATCGTCCATGTGCTTCTGAAACCTCAGCATATGAAGAGATAGTGTGGTCAGCACTATGTCAAGCTGTCTTTATTTCCCTAACATGAGTTACGTACCCTTCAGAACTGGGTGGACAAGTACATATTATTGACTTGAACCCAAATTTGAAAGAGGTTGATGGTTGAGATTAGGTTAATGGTTGAAACTAATGTTTGACCTTGGTGGTTCAATTGTCTCGGTTAACTTTTGTTCGTAAGCTAAATGATTAGCGAAAGTTGTATACACCAGATTTCAACGCGTTAACGTTAGAGATTGTTATAATGACTTCACGGCTTCATGGGACGGCGTAGTAGAGCATTCGACTGCTAACAGGAAAGTCTCGAGTACGAAAACGGGATCTATTCATTTGAACATCCCTGAGTCCACCCAGCTCTGATGGGTATCTAACTCACATCATAGAATGTATAGGCGCTGGGCATACTGTTGACTACACTATCCGTTTACATACCGGGGTCAAATGAACAGATGAACTCTACTTCACTAGCCCCATAGACCTTCAGGTTAGAAAAGGGAACAATACTAGACTTTAAGGCTTAGCGGTAGAGAGCTAGACAGCTACCTGAAAGTCTCGAGTTGGAATCCAGGTTCAAGTTAGTATAAAATACCCGAGCTCACCCAGCTCTGGTTGGTACCTCATTATATACCGAGGTCCCAGAATCAGGTGAACTCTACTTCACTTGCCCTATGGACCGTCCGGTTAGAGCAGGGGTTCCCAACCTTTTTTTTACTCTAGAGCACATTCTAAAATATCGGTAGGGTGGCGGGCACCACCTATTTTAAATCGACAAACTCCTTCCATAACTTGTCATTTTCCCGTAATTTATTTTCTTATTTTCTTATAGTCATAAATAATAAACAAAAATGTTTCAAAATAATAAAATTATTTGGCATTTTTTTCAAATTGCATACACACAGAGACATGTATTTACAAAACGTAAAGAAAGTAAACAAAACACATAAATACAAAGAAAACATTTAATTAAAAAAATATAATAAAGTCAATGTGATCTTTGGCATTGCATTTCATTGGCCAGAGCTTCATAATTAGGAGCGTATGACGATAATCCTGTTAGCAGACAATCATAAAGATGCTCATCGGTGAGTCGAGATCTATATCTTGATTTTTATTAAGTTCATGTTTGAAAACAATGATTCGCATAAATATGATTCAAATGGTACCAGCCGTTCCAGGATAGCGTAAATGGTGCAGTCTTGCTCGCCGCTAGACAAGTTGGGACAAGTATCGAACATATTTAATAAAGCTAGGCAGTCAAAAAAAATTAAAACTGTAAAAAATGAATAAAAATAAATCATATTTTAAAATAATGTTTATGAAAAAAAATCTGTCTCTGTCGAATAGTGAGAGGCGGGCACATCGAATCGTTCAGCGGGCGCCATGGCGCCCGCGGGCACAAGGTTTGGAAACCCCTGGGTTAGAGGGTACAGCTTAGAGGGTACAGCTCTAGTAATCGAATCTTTCACTTCCGCCCGCAGCTTAGCGCATGCGTGGGCCGGAACCAGACATGGCACCAAGACTGCACGAGCACGCTCTGGAGTAACGAGACATGGAGCATCCAGAGGCTCGTCACACAGGTCGACTGTGACGCTTTCCAGGGCACGAGGTCAGAGGTCGACTGTTGTAGGGCGAGGATAGGTAAGCTTTGGGTGTCAAGGTCGTCTGAGGTAGAGTGGATAAGTATCCGAGTCAAGGTCATTTGAGGTAGGGTGAGTAAGCCTCGCTGTCAAGGCCGTCTGAGGTAGGTTAAAGATAGGTAAGTCTCGGGTTCAAGGTCGTCGGATGTAAGGCGGGTAAGCCTCGGGGTCAAGGTCCTTCAAGGTAGGATAAAGATCAGTAAGACAGACAGACAGACAGACAGACAGACAGACAGACAGACAGACAGACAGTGTGTGTGTGTGTGTGTGTGTGTGTGTGTGTGTGTCTGTCTGTCTGTCTGTCTGTCTGTCTGTCTGTCTGTCTGTCTGTCTGTCTGTCTGTCTGTCTGTCTGTCTGTCTGTCTGTCTGTCTGTCTGTCTGTCTGTCTGTCTGTCTGTCTGTCTGTCTGTCTGTCTGTCTGTCTGTCTGTCTGTCTGTCTGTCTGTCTGTCTGTCTGTCTGTCTGTCTGTCTGTCTGTCTGTCTGTCTGTCTGTCTGTCTGTCTGTCTGTCTGTCTGTCTGTCTGTCTGTCTGTCTGTCTGTCTGTCTGTCTGTCTGTCTGTCTGTCTGTCTGTCTGTATGTCTGTCTGTCTGTCTGTCTGTCTGTCTGTCTGTCTGTCTGTCTGTCTGTCTGTCTGTCTGTCTGTCTGTCTGTCTGTCTGTCTGTCTGTCTGTCTGTCTGTCTGTCTGTCTGTCTGTCTGTCTGTCTGTCTGTCTGTCTGTCTGTCTGTCTGTCTGTTTGTCTGTCTGTCTGTCTGTCTGTCTGTCTGTCTGTCTGTCTGTCTGTAAACACGATTACTTGAGTGGTACTTTTCCTACTTTGAATTTTTAAAAAGCCTATAACTTTGAATATAGACATGATTTTTAATTACTTAAACTTTTAAAAATAGAATAGAACCTCATAGAAAAAAGAATTGCGCTCCAAGCGAACGCCAAAGCAAAATATGCATAATAGTGCGCAATATTATTAGTACTTTATAAATTTACATGCGTTTTTTGAGAAATCGGAAATAGCGTAAATTAGTACTTCCGTACCACGGAAATTACTCAAAATTTGACAGTAGGTAGAGAATTAGATATTTTGCTTACGTGTGACATTTCTTTTATCTATCTGAAATAATACTCAAGTTAGAGGCTTTTAAAACATTCAAAGTAGAAAAAGTACCACTTCCGGTTATCGGAAATTGCGCAAAAGTTGATACGGATCTACGATATTGATAAAATACTTGTATATGAAATTTCATCAACCTAGCTGAGCTCAAGTAATCGTGTTTACACACAGACTTACACAGACATACGGACAAGATTGCAAAATTATGTTTTTCCGTATCAGTGAGGTGTAAAACGTCGGGATTTGTTAAAATCTCGATCTCTTTTGCACGATTACAATACTTTCTCTATACATCGTATATACAAGAAAGTAAAAATAGCTTTAGCTCCGTGGTTAGGTAGTAGAAGCAAAGCTTGAAGCAGAAATTAACGTTTTTAAAATATTTTTAATTTTCAAAATTTTCGAAAATCCCGTTTTCCTTTATATGAATATAAAATATATAATTAAAATATTTTTGACACAGTTAACCATAATTAAATACTTTAATGCAATTCTGTTGTTTGTAATTTATGATTTATTTTATTTTAACCCTTAGGTGAGTTTTTATTCAAGGGAATGTACTCCACATTAAACGACAAAGCCATTGGAGCAATCATGCTGGTTATTTCCCTTACAATTCTCTGCCTGTGTCTGGTCGCCATAGTCAAACTGCTGCACTCCCTTCTCCAAGGCCCCATCGCTCTCATCATCAAAAAATTCATCAACGCGGACTTTCCCGGACCGCTGGGCTACCTCACCGGATACCTCGCCATCATCATCGGCGCCGGGTTGACCATCATCGTCCAGAGCTCCTCCATCTTCACCTCCACCCTCACCCCGCTCGTCGGCATCGGGGTCATCGAACTCGACCGGATGTACCCTTTGACCCTAGGGTCAAACATCGGTACCACGACCACGGCGATTCTCTCAGCCTTAGCCAACACGGACGGCCTCAGAAACGCGTTACAAGCAGCCTTCTGCCACCTCTTCTTCAACATCACCGGCATCCTCCTGTTCTACCCCATCCCCTACCTCCGCTTCCCCATACCGCTTGCCAAATTTCTAGGCAACTGCACGGCCGAGTACCGCTGGTTCGCCATCGTCTACATCCTCCTCATGTTCTTCCTCTTCCCCGCCCTAGTCTTCGCTCTCTCCATCCCGGGCTGGTACGTCCTCCTCGGCGTCCTCGGGCCCGTCTGCCTTCTCTTCATCATCATCGGCGTCATCAAATGCCTGCAGGCTAAACGTCCCCAGAGCCTGCCCAGAAAGCTCCAAGACTGGATGTTCCTACCCCAGCCGCTACGGTCTTTAGAACCCTACGATCGCGCCATGCAGAAAGTCTTCTTCTGCAAGCGGTTCCAGACAGACTCTACCGAGAAGACAGACGCTGGTGCTACGTCAGACAGACAAGCTAACGGAGAGTCCAGCACGCGACTTTAGTATGACCACGTAACATTGTTTACAAAGTTCGATTATTGAACACCTATTTATTCTATGTTTTTTATGTTTGTAGCTTGTATATGATTAGATAATTTACATCCGTTTTAGTTCAATATGTATATATAGCATGTATATAGCTTACAGAATTTTGAATGTGATATATATATATATATATATATATATATATATATATATATATATATATATATATATATATATATATATATATATATATATATATATATATATATATATATATATATATAAGACACATTTCTGGTAATTTTTAAAAAATATACAAAATTACTTTTTTAGGAATTTTGAGCTCTTTGATCTTGTTATAAGAGTTTTGTGAAATTTTATACATTTTTAACAACACGAAAAGGTTGATTTAATTCTAAGATTGTTATCGTATTTTTGTCATTTAAAGCTTTCCTGGTCAAATTTTGATACAGTTGATACGATAACTGCACGTCGTACTAGGTATTTGAACACTCTGCCTTTGTACAACTGTGTATTGAGTTGTCTTTTGACGTGTTCGTGATTTCAACGAGAGGCGATGTTACGTCCATAGAGGCCAACTTAAACCACCTGGGCCACTTTTATGGAAGGCCAACATTGGGCCACTTTTTTGGACAGGTCAATCTCGGTCACTTTCATGGAAAGGTCAACATTGGTCATTTTTATGGAAAGGGCAATCTCGGCCGCTTTTATAGATAGGCCACTAATATTTGCCCCAAATGCATAGCCCATCTGTGGACACTTCAAGCATAGGCATTTGTTGTCA